GATGCTTCCCCTGCTTTAAGTCACGATTGAAAACAGTTTTATTTGTTTTTATTTCAGCAATTTCCCACATCGCACTGGCACTCTTATTTCTTGAACTAAATTTGTTTTTTTCTGTTTAACCTATGGCTATGTCTTTTTAATGAATGCTTTTAAACTGTTACGTTCTTATTCACTTTTTTGTTTTCTTTAAAAAAATATATGTTTTATGTAAAGCACTTCAAATGATCCCGTACACATAATGTGAAAATTAAATGTGCCGTGCATTCACCTGAAAGCTCCGCATCATCACTGTCTAATAAGGCTTTTCTGTGTTTAAACTCCTGACTAATGCCCACTGTCAGCTTATGTAATAAAACTGTAAATCATCAAGAAGAAGAGCTACAGCCGAACAGTATGGCAGCAACCTGCTGGGGTGTGTTGACAAGTGTGTGGAGGTGGTGGTGAAGGCAGTGCGGCAGGGGATGATGGATGGTCTGTCAGCAGAGTGTTAAGGTGCTGGGAAAGGGGATGAATGACCTGTTGAGATGCCCCCGGAGGAAAAATATAAAAAGCAAAAGAAAATTCAGATCGATAGTGCCTAAGTCTGTCAGCAGGTACAGAAGCACGGAGGCAGAGGCCTGTTTTCATTAGACAGCAAAGAGGGACTTTATGATTATTCCAGTGACGTTTCCGCCGCATCACATGAGGAACGGATGCTTAAAGTGCAGATTGAGAGCTACGTCATACTCAGATGGCAGTCAGAGCCACCAGCACACGTGCGTGTTCCCAGAGCTGACTGCCTCAGCCTCCCCACCTTTGCAACCATGGCAACATCGAGCAAGAGGTCCTGCTGAGGATGCTTTGTTGTCCTGCGGGGAGGAGCTTTGCCGGGTGACAGCATGTCTACCTCCTGTGACCTTTACTCACAACTGACTTGAATGCTCCGCAGCCACATTTCCAAACTCTACCCGGCCAATCAACACTGTACATCTTAGAATAGCATTTTATTTTGTTATATTTTGTGTAACTTACATTTATGTATCCCTTGTTACGTTAAAGCCCTTGTTACTGTCTACATATCAAATAAACCGATGTGTGTTACATATAGTTGAGGGGCAAATGATGTAACCTTTCTTTTATAATATCCATAAAAAGACAGCTAAACATTTCTCGTCTAGTTGATCTGTTCTGCATCAGCCAGTATTTTTTCTTCCTTTTTCCCTTAAAGAAAAGCTTTATCTTTCCAGGATGCAAAGGCTTTTCAATGCAGCCCTTTCTGTTGGCTGACAAGCCATGGGGAGAATAACAATTTAAGTTTTTTATTATATCAATATGGCTCTTTTTGTGGAATACAATACAGTGCAGCTTTTGTAAAGCTTGATGACTACTAGCAACACCTTTTCCAGGGTCACCACAACGTTTATTTGTAACATGACACATTTCAAAATACGTTGTCAAGATGAGACATATTGTCACCTGACTCTAGTTTTACCGTCATATTTCCTGTTCCATTTCTTGCAGATATGCAAGTAACTTAATATGCCATTTTCCTACATTTACATATCTGATGTTGTTTTGAATTTTATTCATATGGAGATATTTTAAAATAATATAAAATATTGAAGCAAAACTGCAACTCTGATTCGCCTTCTTTAAACCCTGATTTAAAAGCAATTCTATATGAAGTGAATATGAACATATCATCAGTTAGACTCTTTTGCCCTTACAGCCCACATTCTTAACATGCATATCTGTCTCTGCACTATTCCAAGATCCAGGTTGTCTCAGGATACATTATCTCTGGATTAGTGCTGCAAGTACCAGCAGCTCACAATGAGAAGTCATCACCTTAAGAATACTGTTCACTCTGCCGCAGAGATAATGAGGCCTGCCCTACTCACTGTCCTCTGTCTTTTATCTGGCTGCTCTTGTTGAGTCCTGTCTGGCTGATTTATCTCAACCTCAGACCTCAAAGGAAGCCCACAGCAAAACTACGATTTGGGAGCAAAGTAAGGCTGTCTCACTTAGAGTCTGAGTATCTCTAAGTAGGGTGTGTGTGGTAAAGGCAGTACGTTTGTGTCTGTGTTAGTGCCTCTGTCAGCCCTGGGCAGGCAGTCTTACCTAATGCGAATTAGATTTATTTCACATTTACATCACGCAGCCAGTCAGATTTATGATTCGCTCCCTTTGAAATTGTCTCTCCCATTTTCCAAAACATGATAACCAAATTATGTTTGCAGGGATTTTAGCTAAGATGGAACTGTGTTTCAAAACAATTTTTTCAACTTGGGACTTCGTCGAATTAATTAAAAGTTGACTGATATAATAAAGCCCCTGAAGCTGAAGGGCACATCCTGAAACAGAGCGATAAAACCTCAAAACCCCGGTCTTACAGATCTTTGTGTTCATCTCTGGTCATAAGTAACAGATCATGTCAAAACTGCTTCTTTATCACCATTTCTCTCACACTTTCTCTGAAATATGGGCGCGTCATTATAAGCTAAGTACATTTTAAGCAGAAACAGCCCATTAACAGCCTGCTTTCATTCTTTAAATGTAGCCTATGGGGATAAAAGTGCCATTAAAGAGCAGCGTGGTACTGAGATTGAGATTAAGACAGTACTGACGGTTACACATGTATACACAGCTATCCTTGCAAAAGTGAAGGTTCTGTTTTCATTTTGAGAGAGATTTACCTGAATAGATTAAATGAGCCTCAAAGAAGGAGGAAGAAGCAATCACTTCTACATGAAATAACCTTCCTTAAACTAAAGGAAAGACAACTTTAGCCAGCTGTTTCATTGCGTGTCAAGTACAATCTAATGCTGTTCGACAATTTCAGCCAAACTAACAGTCATGTATTTTTATATCATTACAAAATTAGATTTTCATAAAGTCATTCATATAAATCGTGCTGAAAAGGCAGAGTTATTGTAGCATTTCTGAGCTTTAACTTATGAGATTGCCTCAGGAGCTAAACAATTAAGATTAATTTGATAAAAATGACTACTTTAGGAAAGAGCCTATCAAATCATTTAGATTTTTGATGAAAAAAGTTGCGACGTCCTGATCTTTTGAAAAACAGTTATAAATACAGACTCTACTTTTACAGTTTCCACAAAGCAAGACACAAACAAAAAGAAATAATGACTTTTTCTTGTTGTTATGTGTTTGAATGTATTCGAAAAATCCGTACAAGAAGGGTCGTATATAATCCCCAGGGTCCAAACTGATGCAAGAATGTCACCATGTTTAACCTTTACATTCAAAAGTTAATTGGGTTGGCAGTAAGGGTTAGGGAGAAAGTGAAGGAACCACTACTGATATCCCATTCTGGGTGACTCAGACTTTTACAATGCAACAGTAAGGCCTAAAGCAATGCAATATTTAATCAGTCTCAAAACATACAAGCTCACCTCCAAACAAACAAACAAACAAACAAACAGGCTGCCCACAATCTGTGAGCTTAAGGGGCAGAAGAAAACAGCAGTAATCAAATGATGAAAAATGTAAGACTCTATCTTTTGCTATAAATACATTAAAAAACAGCAGTGCATTAGAACTTTTCCAGAGGAAGAGGGATTTCAAAATCTCATTCTGAAAATGGTCTCCCTATTTCCTGAGGCAAGAGGCAATTTCATGCTTCAGCTCAATTCAAGGGGACTTCCGGACTGAAGGAGACTGCAAGGTTAACAGTGGAAACTTGATAAATAAATCTTGGAAGTCCAGCAGTGTTATAACATCTTCTTGCAACATGCAGCAAAAACTAAGCCTGTTGTCATGCTTGGTTTTATGTAACTGACATAATCACAGAGAACAGCTTTGGATTTACGCGTGATTGCTTTAGGATTAAATGTAACTGCTATCAGGAAGCAGGCAACACGTCTTCGAGTGTCCTGTCATCAGGCCTTCATGCAGACCGGCAGCAGGCTCGCTCTGAGGCTGACCAGAGCTCTGTGCCATTGACGTCAGTGGTGGAGGCTTGCTGTTTGTCTGAGGCAGGGCTCATCAGTAAATATCTCCGTCTAATTTCTCCACTAGAGAGAAAACTACTGAACAAAACCATTAACAGAAATCCCCAAAATAAAATCAATGGATGAATAAAAGTATATGTTCTCACAGATGAAAATCTGAGAGAAAACCTATATTTTTTCATTTCTGAGGGGTACAAAGTTAAACTAATCTCATATTTCGTCGTAGCCACACACATTTGGGAGATTAGCATTCAAATCTGCTAACTATCTGACCATCTAGTAAATGGATATAAATGGAGAGCAGGGGTTTTATTTACTGTTGTTTCATGATTTCTTTATGCTGAAGTCCTAACTAATGTTCACGCAGCACAATCTAGAAATACCAGGCCTGGGTAGAGGATCTGTAAAAATGTACTCCTTTAGAGACTATTGTCCTCGGAAGGACAAAGAGTGATGCTGAGAGTGATTTCAAATCAAATCCAAAGGGTCATCTCTCCTATAAAAACAAACCTCTGTGAAATGAAAACAATTTCTACAGTAAAAACAGCCATCCCAGGAACTTTTGTGTTTCAGCACCATGGTTAGCGCCAAGTCTAAAAGAAACCACGAGTGAAATCACTGTACACACTGTTGATTTTCACATCAGTGGTGGACTTCTAAACACTGATGTATATGCTTCGAAAACTCACAACATTTGCTACCTTCACTTAAATATTTCAAATGATGCCAGAGGCGAAAGCAGCAGCAGCAGCTCTTACAGGCCCTGTTGGATGTTTTTTATCTGCCACTATTCGTTAGGATCGACAAAAACACCGAAACAGAACGCAATCACAAGAGTGAAATTGCAGACATAATTTCTTATTTTTTCATTTTAAATCATGCTTTTCAAACTTTTTTGAACAGGTGTGAAAGTGGAACCAGATTGCTTCTTGATCGCCACGCATTCAATAGCACTGACAGTGTGTTTCTACAGAACACTTGTGGAGATAACACGTACATCTGTAACAATGAAGTGTCGTCAGTAAACAAATAAATAAAGAGCCTTACGTCCTCATCCTCGCGCAAACACTTTTTGCGGTACTGAGCGTGAGGTTTGCCGTCGGCGTTCTGCTGCGAGGTCTTGCCTCCGTTTTCCTCGTCGGCAACCTGTCCACCCAGGAGGTGGCTGGCCTCAGGTGGGTGCGGGAAGGAATTGGTCGTGTTGATCTTACCGGCAAATCTCTGATACAGTGAAGCCATAATACAAAACGTCCAGTTGACATAAAAACAACTCAGAGCATGTTAGACCCCCAAATGGGTCAAGTCTTATTCATCTATCTTTGTGGACAGTCTTTTGGTTTTCTGTGCGCTTCGAAGAGAACCGATGCCAGGCGATTTTCTCCTCCAGGATGGAGAGGGATAAAAAAAAATATATATGAGGGTGCTTATCTAGTAAATAAGCATTTATGGACGACTCACAAAGTGATGGGCAGACACAAAGCTCAATCCTTCGCGGCGATGTCCTTTTAGCTTTGTCAAGACGCACGTCAGACTGATGGCTGAAGGTTTCAATAGTTCCCCTCTTTTGTATTCAGAACACGTTGTCTTCCCTTTTCAGTTTCCCGATGCCTCCTTACAGCGAGATAGCAGACGGAAGCGCTGAGTTTAAATCAGATATTCGATCCTCGGCCGACATCGAGGGATTGTCCGCAAAACAAAGGAGCAAAAGATAATGAATCGCCTCTTTTTGGTTTTTTGTTTCTGCCCGACAGTCCTCACGTCGGAAAAGTGAAGGACGCAGAGAGCCCGACGGCAGATCTTCTCCGCAGACGCGCCGTGCATGTGAAGTGACCAGCGCAAAGAGAGCAGCAAACGCCGAGGCTGTGCGGTCGTTTCTCTCCCCCGCGTGATGCTTTACGCACGAATGCGCTCCAGAAAATGCACAACGCTTCTATGTCATTTATTGATTTCACACGTTATTATTTGCTGGGCTCACTCATTTCTGACCTCACGTGCGGGATCAATATAATGTTTTCCTAAATGACTGATTGTGGTCCCAGGACGGAGCTCGAGTGCCTCTCTGTGGCGCACACGATTAGGGCAGGCTGACCACACACCTTTAAGGGGCTCAACTAAAACAGCAAGTGTAATATTTTTCTCTTTTATTCATCTACTTCTTACGAAAAACTCCCCACAAATTAAATAAATCTTTGGAGGTAAAATACTAGATCAAACATTCCCCAAAATATCCAGAAACTACACCCAGGCTCAGCAAGCATTTCTCTCCAGTATTGGAACACTATGAAAGGGGTTTATTTTTGGCATACTGCAACTTAGATTAAATTAAAGTCTCGTAAACCTGTTTTATAAACTCCACCTAACTGAAGGAATCCAACGTCTCAGTTCCTCTTTTTAATTCATGCACCCTCCTTCTATCCGTCTGATATTTCCAGTCAGCTCACATCCACGTATCTTCATCTCAAAACATCACAAGTGATTTCACGCTTGAAATACTCACAGAAGCCCCATCTATGCAGCTCTCTGGTAAATGCATAATATTGGCTTATGTGCAGCGGAAGGAGAAAAAAGGCTCTTGGGTCAAAGTGTTCAAATCTCTGCCACCCCTGTCATGAATGCCACCGGCAAATACACCACCGGCACTCACCGTGACAGTCAGGCTATCACCCCAATGGGGCTTAGCTGTATTTCGGGGAAATAGGTCACCCTCACACGGCTACAACTTCAAAGCAGCATTGAAGCCCAGCTCAAAACAGCTCTTTGCACATTTTGCACCGCTGTGCGTCTCCCATCAAGTGAAATCAAGTTAATTTTACAAACATTTGCAAAGGGGTCATTGAGGTGGACTGACGATAGCAATAGAAATTACTATACTCTATTGATCTTTCAACAAAGACAGAGTTTCAATTACTTTTCTTTCACAAATGGTGAGTCATCTCAAGTTCTAAAAGAACCGCTGGAGGCTCATTGATTCATGGTATGAATTATGAATGTAACCTCAATAAAAGTAAATGTTTCTGGAATACAGAATATTAATTTCAAAGGTTTAGATATCCATTCCAAAACAAGTATCTATAACTTTATGGCCTTTACTAAATTAAATTTAGTGCCTGTTCCCACCTTGTTCATCTTTGAATCGACTATCTTTTGATTCGAATAATTCCTAAACTAATAATTTGATGCTCGTGTGTACACATAATTCAAAGTTTCAACAGAGACTTGTGCTGGGCTGAGCATCTCTGGGTTTCCAGGAGTCTCCCCTAAGAACACTACCTTGTCTTGGTCACTGTCATCATCTGTTCCTTTACATCATAAACACCTTCTCTTTGGCCTTCACACCCTTGGGAAATAGGTCCGAGCCACCTGGCATCCGTGCTGGCCTGTCTGATAGATGTCTCCCAATCTCCCTCATCTTGTTTGGGAGCTATTGTGAAGTGCCTGACTGCTTTAATGCTCCCCTCAGGACCCCCAGAAGCCAGGGCTCAGCTTGACTCCCGTATTGCTTTGTTACAGATGGAGCATTAGAGTGGAGCTACGCCTTTCTCTGCTCTAACAATCACCACTGCAGTCAGGCTCTGCATTATGGGTGGTAAAACTTTGGAGAGGTTTGTAATATAATGATGAAGGCAGCAGCAGCATGCCTTGTGCGGCCATTGATAATGGGGCTGTTAGGGCCGGTGCAAGCTAAAACCTATGGTACACTGTAATTACATTTGAAGCACATGACATGCATATTAATCTAAGTGATGTGGGTAGCCCCGAGTACTTTATGATGCAGTGAGTGATGGCTTTATAAGGCTTTGCAATGCAATAAACTCCTCTAAGTGAGTTTACCTTCAGTACCAGTGAGGGATTAATACAACAGCACTATGGGAAAATGTACTAAACTGGAGACACTGACATTGTTTTATTCCACAAGGGCCACAGGGATACCATTAGTTTTCTCCTTCTTGAAATAAAAACACCAGAGCATGTTTGTGATCTTGTGTTCCATGGGGAGTAGGAATGTTCTGAAGCAAGCTGCAGGTAAAATCCCTCAACAGCATGGAGGATCTTCTGAGAGGAAAACTGAAAAGGAATCAAGAAATCTGTTTTTCTCTTAAAACCTCGCTGCTTTACTTTTGGGCGGTTGCATGAATGCATTTTGTATTGAATGTATTCGCGTCAAGTGATAAGGCACTGCAGGCCAACCCCTGTCCATCAGTGTGCGCACAACACAAAACAATGACACATAAATTAATTGGATAGAAAAGAAAAACGATCATTCAGTCCATGTCTGCAGGGAGAGCAGTAGTATCTCATTTCCTAAGAACATCCCTCAGCTGAACAGGGAAATTACTGCACCTCTCTCCACATGCCTGTATCATAACGGATTTAGTTACAGTTCACCATAATCACATTTTTGCACCAGTTTCCATTTGGTGTAAGCCGGACTCTAATGATTTCCCTTGATGCTGTGCTGAACCAACCATGGCAACAAGTTCCATCATCAGACTGCTGCCCGCGCGTTGGTTAAAGTTTCCTCTTTGCTGCATTCTGCGCACATATCCTATCTTTCTTGGAGCTTATTTTTACTTTTTACAAATATAAAAAATAATGCTGCAGTCACTTAAATTTTGTAGTATGTAGGAAGTATGGCATTGGTATCACTTGAAAAACAGTAAACACCTTTTTTGGTAAAAAGCTAAAACACTGTTGGGCCACATTGGCCAACATACTCATACTTGATCCTTTACATGGGATTCTTTAGTTCTTAGATTTGTTTTGGTTTTGTTTTAAGATTCTTGTTGCTTTGTTATCTGGTTTTGATCTTGCCATTAGCCCTGGTTGTCCTCAGCTAGTCTTAGTCTTGCCTGGCTCCCTCTAAACACCCGCTTAATGTTGTTATCCTCTGCTACTGTTAATCAGTCACAACCTTACTCTTTTTTCATCAGTCATTTGTGTCTTTAAGCTGCTTGGTTTGTTGTAATCTTGTCAGATCTTTGTCATTACTCCACCCGGGGTGCATCCATAATCTCCTTTTTTTTGCTTATCTTGTGCCGTTACATGCATTTAGTCTTTTGTACCTTATGTTTGGCTCTTAGGTTTCCAGCACAGCCACACTTTTGTTAAGTACTTTCAATCAATATTTTAGTTTTTCATCCATAGTCTCTGAACTCCCACTTTCTGCGTCAGGGTTTTCAGAGCCAATACTTGGTATAATTGTACATTAACATTTGTTTCATTTCCATGCGATGCCAAATGTGTGCATGGTACATATGACTTTCACTTTTAAAAGATAACTCAAGAAATACTTTTTTTGCTTAGAAATTCAGCAAATTTCCAAATTATTTATGGGAGGCTTAGAATGTGCTTTACGCAATGTAATATTGAGTTTGGTCAGAAATATTCTCAAAATTACCACTGCAGTGCAGAAGTTTTGTATTTTCCATGATTTAATCCACTACTCGATAAAAGGATATGTCATGAAAATCTTAAAATGAACTAATTATTTCATTTCAGCTTCCAAATGCCGATTTATTGGCATTGTCACATAATTGTTTAATATAGCGTTCAATTTGTTCTTCTGTTTGTTAAGGATGTTTTTGCCGTTGAAAATAGCTTGTTATAAGTGGATCTGTTTGAAATGGCATTATTCTGCTTTCAGGGAAGCTAAAGAAATCAATTCAGCTGAAGTCATGTGTTTGAAATCCAGTTAATTTAGTTGCAAATCCATTTATCTACTACATAGTAAATGAACAGTCTTCTATGATCACAGAACTGATCGTAGCTTCGGAGTCAGTTAAAGGAATTCATGACATTTTTAGATTACTGCACAAATGATGGCAAGCTGTTGATTAGTTTAGCATAACGTAATTGTGAAGTCTGTACTTTTGTACAGAAGCATTACTGTCAATCTGTAAGGTCCAACTCTACAGGAGGAATAAAGAAAAGAGATGAGTGGCAATAATACTCTGTGAGGAGAGACCAAGGCCAAATTATTAGCAGTGTTCTAGGAAAAACAGGGATTGGCATCTTTGGGGACCAGCATCATCATTGTGTTGGACTCAGATCTAATGGGAACACAACCTAGGTGCTGAACATGTAAAATCCATTATGTCTGACTGACACATTCTTCATCTAAAATCAGAACTATTCTTTGGATTTGAATCAATAACGTATGAAAACAGTTAAATACACTGTTTGAAGGATGAAAATCCATTAAAGTATGTTTTACTTATTAC